TCCCTTATTAAAGGGACAAGAAGTCGACTACTCTTTCTACACAGAAGGGCGAGATAATTAAAGCTTCCTTCATTTACTAGAGAGACGAGACGACTACCTCCCGTATTACAAGGGATGATAATGAGTGTCCTGTATTAAAAGGACCCGGGCTGAATAAATCCCGTAATCAATATCCCCGTACTATAAGGGATAGTAAATAAATGTCCTGTACTAAAAGGAACCGGACTGAATGAATCCCGTAATCAATATCCCCGTACTATAAGGAATAGTAAATAAATGTCCTGTAGTAAAAGGATTCAGGCTGAATGAATCCCGTATTCAATATCCGCGTACTATAAGGGATAATAAATAAATATTCTGTACTAAAAGGATCTGGATTGAATGAATTCCGAAATCAATATTCCCGAAGGATCCAGACTTAATGAATCCAGTAATCAATATCCCCATACTATAAGGGATAGTAAATAAATATCCTGTACTAAAGGGACGAGCTGAGTGAAGCTCGTAAAAACTAATTCCCTTATTAAACGGACGACGAGCTGAGTGAAACTCGTACAATTTATTCCCTTGCCAAAGGGATGGGCTAACTGAAGTTTGTTAAAAAAAAAAAAAAAAAAAAAAAAAAAAAAAAAAAAAAACCTTACCATGGGAATAATACCCAAGGGAAGATTACTTAAGGGAAGAGTACCCAAGGGTACCAAAAATAGTACCCAAGGGATGGGCTGACTGAAACCCATGAAGTTTACAACTAGTATAATGGATTTTCAAAAGAAAAATCCAGTTTTACATCATTAAGAGTCATTGACCATGGGTTTGAATCCATGTCCTTCTAAAACAGAACCTTGATTTGGTATTTGTATTAATTCCACAATTGGGAAAAATACCCAAGGGAAGGGCACCCACGGAAACATTACCCAAGGGAAGAGTACCCGAGAGAAAAAAAAAATAATAATAAATAAATCTACTGTTCATGTGAACATTAACCCGCGGGCACTGTTCCCGAGGGAACAGTGCCCAGGGCAAAAAAAAAAAAAAAAATCACATTCCCAAAGTTAGATGAGCAAGCTTGGGAATAGGGGGTAACTGATAGGGAAAAATTAACCTGACCTACCTTGACTTAATGATAAAGGCAACTAAGTGTTAACCAGCCGCCAAACCTTTTTGACTTTCGGACGATGATATTTCCATTGAATAAGAATGATAATATTTCATTATCAAGGATAATGAAATATGACGTGGTTCAACAAGATAAGGATAACCTTGGCACAATTTGAGAAAGTCAAAAGGGTTAAATCATATCTCTGACAAATCTGACAACAGACGGATCTCTTCTGATCTCGCATAAGTGGATCTCCTCTGATCTCGCACAAGCGGATCTCCTCTGATCCCGCAAATGAACTGAGGGAGAGCGACTGTAAGAATGAGATCCAATCAATAAAGGTACGATAAAAAATTATTATTAAATCCATGCCTTTCTTTTAGACCTCCGGTGACTGACTTGATCGTTGGAGAGCTCTTGGCAGGCACCATACCGGTATTGTCAAGATTTATCGATCTTCTACTCTCTTCTTTGCAGGAAAACGGTGTCATATCGGATCGCATGCATTTCACCTTCAACAAATATAATGCCTAATTTTTACTCCTATAATTTTCAAAATATATGTGATTTTGTCGTTGATAAATGTCTCAAAATTGCTAAATTATAAGTGTTTAAGACTTGTTTGGTTAGGTAGAAACAGTTAGAAAATAAAGGAAATAGAAAAATTTTAATTTTTTTTTTTTGAGAATTTGGATTAGATAGAAAGAGAAATCTAAATGGAAAATTTAGTTTCCCGACTTGAGTATTTTTCCTCAAAAAAAATTTCACGCAAAAATTTTATTTTCATGTGAAAGAAACGACTATTCATTTGCAATTCCTATTTTACCAAGTAATTTAATTGTGCCAAGTTCTCTCCAAAAACAACTTCTATTATGAGGTAAGTTTTCTAAAAAAGAAAACTTTTATTCTAAGGTAAGTTCACAACCTAGATTATTCAGTTATATATACAGAATATCAATGATAATTTGTGTAAAAGTGCTCAAAATAGATACTACTTCTAAATATAATTTTCTATTTTTTTAAATTATCTGTTTGACATTGCAATTCTAGCCATTCATTCACAATCCGTGTGTATATATATATATATATATATATATATATATATATATATATATATATATATATATTATTATATGGTGAAATATTTGATTCTAAATATAAACAATAGAAATGAATAGAAATAATTATATATTTGAATTAAATAATTCATCATTTTATTACAGGTAGTCTTGATATGCATAATCATTTTCATGTTATCCAAACTAACAAATTAATATTTTTCTATAATTTTCTTGAATAAATTTTCATAGTAACCAAATGAATACTAATCTTTTTTTTCTTTTCTTTTCATTCACTCTACTTTTCCATTTATCCAAAACCAAGAGGGTTTCAATTTCCATAAAAAATACGTTCAAATTAATTCCATATATAATTAGAATTGGAGAAAGAGTCATGGTTTTGCAGCAAACCTTGCGTTCGAGAGGGTCGATTGGCAGCGACTGAGGTTTTTTTTCTGTTACAATCTTTCTCGCTCGCCATTATAGATTTATTGAATATATATATATATATATATATATATATATATATATATATATATGTGTGTGATTTGTAGAAACTTCGTGTGTGACAATCTATACAATTTGGTAAGATTTGAACTGATAATTGCAAGAATATTATATTTGTTTCAAGAATATATCGGTCACGTGTTATTGTGAAATTCAGAACTTGATTGCATGATCATGATTTCAAAGTATAATACAATTAATTCATAGCTAGAACACTATCGATCCTTTTTTTTTGTTAAATTATCTGTTCCATGTTGTAATTCTAGCCACTCATAATCCTTATATATATATATATATATATATATATATATTATATGGTGAATTATTTGATTTTTTTCTCACATAGTAGTATTGCCTCTTCATCTCTAATTTTTTATATTTTTATTTGTTTATCTTAAACAAATAATTAGTTTTACTTAAAAAAATATTATGAAGCCTTATTCTAAAGATAAATAATAGAAATGAATATAAGCAATTATATATTTAAATTTAATAATCTATCATTTTACTTCATAAGGATAGTTTTGGTATACATAATTACTTTTTTTTTTTCACTTTCATGCCATCCAAACTAACAAACTTTTTATAATTTTCTCGGATAAATTTTCATTCTAGCCAAATGCAAGCTAGAAAATCCCTTTTCTTTTCATTCACTTCACTTTTCTTTCACTTCTATTTCTTTAGTTTTCTTACTTATTTCGATCTAACCAAAAGGAGAATTGGGAGTACTATATACTTCGTAAAGTTCACTCACAGGCTGTCATGAAAATCAAAATCTTCTAGATAGATATAAATATAATGTCTAATTTTTCCTCCTAGAATTTTCAAAATATATGTGATTTTGTCGTTGATAAATGTCTCAAAATTGCTAAATTATAAGTGTTTAGGACATTTGTTTGGTCAGGTGGAAACAGTTAGAAAAGAAAGGAAACCGAAATTTTTTAAATTTTTTTAAAGTTTGGATAGATAGAAAGAGAAACCTAATGAAAAATTTAATTTCCTGACTTGAGTATTTTCCCTCAAAAAAATTTCACCAAAAAATACGCAAAAATTTTACATGAAAAAACCGACTATTTATTTACAGTTTCTATTTTAATCGTGCAAAATTCTCTTCAAAAACAACTTCTATTGTGGGGTAAGTTCTCTAAAAAAAACTTCTATTATAAGATAAGTTCGCAACGCAAATTATTCGGTTATATATACAGAATATCAATGATAAAATAGATCCTACTTCTAAATAGAATTTTTTTTTAATTGTTTGTTTTATGTTGCAATTCTAGCTACTCATTATTTGATATTTGAAATATTTGATTTTTCTCCCAAACACTAGTATGGTCTCTTCATCTCTAATTTTTTATTATTTTTTTTATCTTAAACTAATAATTAATTTTACTTAAAGAAAATATTATGAAGCCTTATTTTAAATATAAATAATAAAAATAAATATAAACAATTATATATTTGAATTAAATAATCCAGTATGCTATCCAAATTAATAAACTAATATTTTTTAATAATTTTCTCGATAAACTTTCAGCTCATCAAATATATGCTAAAAAAATATTTTTTTCTTTTCATTCACTTCACTCTTCCATCTAACCAAACAGAGGGTTCAATTTCCATAAAAAAAGTTCAAATTAAATCGATATATAACTTGAATTGGACAAAGAGTCGGGGTTTTGCAGCAAACCTTGCGGTATTTTTTCTGTTACAATCGTTCTCGCTCGCCATTGTAGAAACTTCGTTCAAGAATATATCTGTTATGTGTTATTGTGAAATTCAGAACTTGATTGCATGATCATGATTTCGAAGTATAATAAAATTAATTCATAGCTAGAACACCACCGATCTTTTAATGATGTTCCTATTCTAACTTGGAAACCATATATATATATATATGTGTGTGTGACGTCTATATACATAATCCGTCTTCACTCTATCTGTAAAAGGAAACTTTTGTAGATGGAACTTGGGAAACAAGTCTTGTTTATTTAGGATTGCCTTCAAAAAAACCTCTTATATATATTTTTAACTTCTAATTATTAATTCCATATAATATCAAATTCTCAAATAAAAGGTTCCAATTTTTCTACTTGGTTTTCCAATTCATAGTCCTCTATCGATCTTTTAATTCTTGTTCTATTAATCCAAGTCGATGTTCCTATTCTAACTTGGAAACAACCCTTGTCCTAGTCAGTTTCCAACTGCTTGCCATATAAGAAAATTACTAAGATTTTGTCCCTATAAATACATTCATAGTTAGAAAACCTTCCTTCGTATTTTTCTTGCTACTTGAGCTTGTAGGCCTATTCTTGTTCTTGCAAGTTGGATTGACGATGAGCATGGGGGGTTCAACTTCTGAATCTCCAACCAATTCAACAACCCCTTCCTTTGAAAATGATCTTCTCAGTTATTCGTTTCTAAATCTGGACCTCTACACAGATGATGATGTTGATGTTGATGATGAAGTAATTAGGGCGTGTAACCATGTCAATAATATTTCTTCTGATGAGGGCAACAATGTCGTAGTCAATGGCTGTGTAGGCTCATCTTCTAACACCGATGTCTCTTCTGATGCACGTTCCACAAGGAGCTCTGATAATTGGTCTCCCAATTCAGGTGATCACACACAACAACGATTCTTTGCATTGCCAATGGTTGATCAAGATAATATCTGGACATATCATCAAAATCCTACCTATGGTACGTAATTCCTAATACCAATACTTTTTCGCCCAATTATGTTTCCATATGTGTGTACTTATATTCCAGGGAATCAATTATACTACTTTGCTGAATATTGCTAACATATTTATATACTAGTATTGACAATGCTTCAGTCTTGCTCTATCATGACAAAACTGACTCACGTGGCCAATAAGAGGTTGATACCTCTCTTAAATTTAAAAAAATATATAAAACATGGGTTATATCCATTTTTTTAGAGTTAAACTCGACAGATCCATTTTTATCTATACCTTGCTTGATTTTTTCTCTCCACTCCCATCTTCGCAACCAGACCTCCTCCACCTCCGTTTCACTGCCTTTCTAATCACGAACGGGCGTCTAAATCTCAACTACGACTTTGCTAGAGGACCATTGTGAACCCTAGGCGATTTTACTACGCTCAAATAAAACCTCGCGTCAGAGCCCTGGTCTGAATTTGCACTAGTGGTCGCCATCAGGAAAGGGCAGAATCTGAAGGAAGCAACATCGTCTCTTTGAAGGACATGGTGTGATCCTAAGTATCCTCCCAAGTCCACTCAACCATCCTACTCTTTTGATTCTTCACGAAATAGTGTTGGGTATAGTATGAAATTTACCCTTGTTTTGACTGAGAATCTTATTGTGGGCTTGAAAATGGTGCATAGATGTGTACTTATCCAAAAAACAAAAAAAAAAAATGGTGCATAGATGTGAATAATGTTAACGGGAAATTAATTTATTTCCCATTTTCCTCGTTGGTCAAGTAAAATGCTCACAAGTTGTTTGACAAAATTTCAAGAAGGAAAACCCTTTTTTATGGAAATCCATCCTAAACAAGAATGAGAGCAAAAGTAAGGACAGAAACCATTGTCCTTGTTTTTAAAAGGGGAAAAAACCCAAAATTTGAACATAATTAAGCTCGATTAGAGCTCAATTTTAGTAAAGTTTGAACAGAAACCTTTTTCGATTTAAGCTATTTGAAAGAGAAAAATTACACGGGCAAGTATAATGTTTGAACATACCTGTTTCAATAAAATGAATCAATCATTACTAAGACTAAATCGAAATCAAAATCGAAATCCAAAGATGGACATGTTGGGTTTAATTCTAAAAAAATGGATATAACCCATGTTTTGTATTTCTTAAAGTTTAAGAGAGGTGTCAACCTTTTATTGGGACACGTCAGTCTGCAAGACAGAATCTGTCGTGATAGGACATATGTCGTGATAGGATATGACTGAAGCATTGTTGTATATATATCTCTCTCTAAATATATGCGTGTAAGAATTTGAATATATATTTAATATGTAGATATGAGGGTTAAAATTTTTTTCTTGGTTATTTTTCTAGGACAAGATGCTCTACTTTGGAACCGGAATTCTGCTATGAATGGGAATCAGTATTTTAATCCAGAGAGTCAAAATTTATGTGACAGTGATAGTAATACTCATCATCAATTTGGTGCTACTACAAACTATGGTACTGGTTATTTCGGTAATGGCGGGTACCATGGTACCAATGGTTGTGTTGGAGAGTGGTCTGAACCAATACCTGAGTTGTTTTGGCCTGGATACAACATAATTACGCTGGCTAAAGATAAAGAACGGTCCCGAGACTTGCAGAATCTTTTGAAAAGTGAGAGTTATTATGCAGATTTGATACTTATGAGGGTACTCGACTCTATGTTGGAGCTGATGATAGACAAACAAGGACATCATGTCTTTGAAAAATTAGTTGAAGCATACACAGGCAGATATGATCAGTTGCAATTGATTGTGGACAAAATTATCTTACAACCCTGTTCACTTACGGATGCAGCATGTAATCAATATGGGTGAGTACTATATATATATATACACACACACACATCCTAAATTACACTTTTTTAAAGCACATATATTGATCAACTGGACTAATTAATGGCATAACTTATTTAATGAACAGCTCACATTCAATTCAAAAACTCATCAAACAGTTAAAGAAGTCACCCTTGGCCTTCAAGATGACAAAAGCTCTATCTACCGGATTTTATGATTTGATGATCGATAAAACAGGCAAGCATGTTATTTTGCAGTGCTTCACTGCATTGGATTATAAGGCAAATCAGGTAATTTTATTCTCCTTTCTGAGCTTGCCCTGAATTTGTTTCCACTATATCTATATGCAACTAACTTATAACATTTGATCTCAGGTATTATATCTAGAAGCAATAGGGAATTGTGTGGCATTAGCCACACACCCAGAGGGATGTATATCCCTGAATGATTGCATTAACTGCATAACAGGTGATCACAGACAGTACCTTCTAGGCGTTATCTCTCATAACTCGGTTTACCTTTCGTATGATCCTTCAGGGTACGTATAAATCTCATGATGATTCCCTATCCTAGAATCAATAAAATTAAGTATCACTTGTATAATTGTGTTGTTTGGGTAAACTAAACTCATTTGTGTTGTTGATGGTCTTAATTAATTTGTTCAGGAACTATGTGGTGCAACATGTCCTAGGACTCCATAACCAAGATTTAACTCTTGATATTTGCAATCGTCTCCGAGGACACTATACAGGGCTCTCAATGATACAAAATGGTAGCCACGTAGTTGAGAAATGCATAAGGTTGTCCAAAGAAGGGATGCATTATGTGGTTGAAGATTTTATACAGAGCAACAACCTTCAAGAGCTTGCTCGACATAGATTTGGTAATTATGTGATCCAAACAGCTTTAAAGACCACAAAGGTTAGTCTGAATTTCATACGATCTTATGAAATTTGTTTTTCCCACTTAATTAGCACTTTGATGACATATACAAATATTTGGTTATATATGTTTGTTTGTGGAATTTAATTTAACTATGTTCTGTTTTGCTCTGTATTCGTATGCAGAAAGCCGATATAGATCTTTATAAATCTCTTGCAAGCGCCCTCCAACCACATTTGTCAACTCTGCAGAACTGTAAGCCTGGAGGACAAAATGTGGTTAAACTGATTAGAGGTGGCTTCTGAAGGCAAAGTCTTATTTCAGCTGAATGAGAGAATATATGTTGATTATGAAATTCATTGTTGTTGATGGTTTAGTACCTTTGTTGATTGTTTTGTTTAAGCTAGGCTAGCATGATGAGGTTTTTGTAAGGGGTGAAATTAAGTTCAGTACAAACTGTTTGCTGGTTTTGTAGCTAAAAAAATGTAAGTTTTTCCCTGTTTAGTTGGGTTCCTACTTCTCTATTTAATATGATTTGAGTTTTGTCTCTTCTATTCTAAATAATGTATGATTTCGTCTGATTGATTTTTTTTTTTTTTGGTAGATTTATTTGGTAAGATTGATTGATCTTAACAAAAGGAACAAATTACAAGTAATAATGGGGCATAAACCCTAGAAAGATGAAGCAGCTGAAATATACAAAATTAAGAAGTACCAAAACAGAGAACAGAAGGCTTATTAGGATAACCAAAAAAAAAAAAAAAAAGGGGGGTGGGTTTTGGATACTTTCTTCAAGGATAGCATCTTCCGGGGTACTCAGCGGTGCAAGCGTCGTCACGTACCTTATGTTTGGAACCAAAAATATTTAGAATTTGGAAATAGAATTGGAAAAAGAATTGGATTGTAATTAAAATAGAATCTAGCTCGGAATAAATTGAAATTTGTAAAAGGAAATTTGAGGGAAAAAAAAATTTATACCATTTTGGATAAATTTTGGATAAGGGATTTAAAAAGTGAAAGGGATAGTTTGTGTTGGCACCAAAAACTTGCAGCCATCTCAGCGATGACGTGGACCAATGAGAAATTGACAAGTCTTTGTTATGTCTTAAGGGAAGTCGGCCAATTGAGAAACAAGAGGAGAAAATCTAGGAATTTAGCCACCTTATCCAATAAGGTTGTTGCTGAAATTTGGTAATTAATATTTGAGTTAATTCAAATATATTATTTCAGTTTGGATAGAAGAGATTTAGTTGGAAGGAGATTCCTATGAAATAGGAATTTCGTTGCAAAGGAATAAGGAATTCAAAGGAGAGGCCGTCACGTGAGGGATAATTTGGGCAAAAGTTATAAATGGTCTTCCAGCCATTTAAGGGAAGTTTTTCAGCCTAACTTAAGGAAAGGAGTTGCTAAAAGTTAGCAACTTTCTAACAACTTTTCGGCATATTTCTCGACAACTTGCATTTGACTGGATCAAGGAGAAATTTCAGCAAGGACTTTCCTATTGAAGCAAGAAGAGAAGAGACGCAAAAAACTACTGGAACGTGGTTTAGTTTGAGTAATAAAGTGAAGAAAATCAAGGAGCAAAGAGATTTTCTAGCAATTAATTAGGAAAATAAGTTGAGATAGAACTTCTATAAATAGGAGTATTGTATTCCATTTCCAATTCGTCCAGCACCACCACAAAACATGCATTTCAAACTAAAAATGTTTTCAATTGACTCTACGTCATTTTCCTATCAATTTCTTTATTTCAATTTAATGGCAATTGATTAGATCCTCGTCAACTATTTCGATTCAGCCATTTACTTTCTTTCAATTTCAATTATGCCAATTTTAATTACGCAATTTTAATAGGCTTTCAATTCAATGGCAATTGATTAAATTCTTGCCATTGAATCGTAGTGACAATTGATTAAATTCTTGTCATTACTTGGCTGATGGCAATTGATTAAATTCTTGCTATCACGTTTCAGTGGCGATCGATTAAATTCTTGCCATTGTGTTTGGCTGATGGCGATTGATTAAGTTCTCGCCATCACGTTCGGCCGGCGATCGATTAAGTTCTTGCCGCCTGTCTTCACTCGGCCATTCCATCCATTCAAACATTCATCAGCCATTGCATTTCTTTAGACACTCTGAAAAGTCCTTGCTACAAACAAGGCATAAAAGAACCTTACTGGGAGTTCTTACTAGTCTCTCTCCCACACAATCGCTTGAGAGTCAGCCATCGGAAAAAGGGATAGGTTGGTGTTCAATTACATATTTTGGGTATTTTGTACAAATACTCTGGCACGCCCGCGAAGAGTCCATCGACCGGCGTAGGGAACAAAAACCACGCGAACACGTTTTGGCACGCCCGGTGGGACCACTACTAGAGTGTTATAAAAGAGGCAAATATGCCGCGGCCCACAAAAAATTCTAAGGCCGTGGCTACTGATGAAGATTTGGAGGAAGGCGATCAGCTAGTACAGGCTGAGAACTCTGCAGCAGGTCCTACTGATGAGTTAGTCGTACTTCAAGCACAGGTTAGCTCCTTGGTAGATGCAATGGGAAGGATGGGAGCACGCTACAACGACTTGCATGAAAATATGTCCCAACTCTCAGCCTTTATTTTGAACAAGCCGACTCAAGCTAGCAGCTCCAACAATCAGGAATCGGCTTCTCAGCCGAATCTATCACAAGCTGCTCGGCCAAAGAGGGCCATTGAAACATCACAGCCATGGCCGCCAGTAGTGACACTCCAACCAGGTGCAACATCAAGTCAGCCGGTTCATACGCTACTAACCTGGGCAGAAAGCTATCCTCAGCCTACGTTGGCAGGTTCTAATCAGCCACCAGTAGCAGGTTCGCGGCCACAGGTAATTCCACCAAACCCTCCTCGGATGCCTTTGAACTCAGGGGGCAATCAGATCAGGTGGAGGCCACCGAACCCACTGTATACTCATGTGCCGCCACAGGTAGGGCTCAGGGGGCAGAATATGGCTAATCAGCCACATGATTGGCCGAATTGCTATCAACCAGCGGCTAATCAGCCGCCAGTTTTTAATCAGGTACCACCAATATTAAATCAGCCACCTCAAGTCATGTTAGATAGAAGACAATTAGCTGATTTACTCACAGAAGAATATGGCCTGGAACTTAGAGGTGTCGGCCGACCAATTTATAGAACTCCTTATCCAGAAGTGGTAGACCAAGTTGAGTTCCCTAGAGGATATAAAGTCCCTAACTTTGTAACCTTTAGTGGAGAGGGGAATCAATCGACCGTGGAACATATTGGCCGATTCACGGTTCAATGTGGAGAGGCCAGTGTTAGCCCGTGGTTGAAATTAAGACTTTTTCCTAACTCTTTGACAGGGGCAGCTTTTTCATGGTATATTCGTCTACCTCCTAACTCTGTTTTTAATTGGCCACAGATGGAGGAATTATTCCACAATCAGTTCTACCGTACGGAGACAGAACCTACTCTGACCGATTTTTCCAGGCTAAGTCAATTGCCTAGTGAATCGGTCGAGACATTCATTGCAAGATTCAGGAGAGCAAGATTAAGATGTCGTGTACCTTTTCCAGAACAGGAGTACATTCGTTTGGCTTTGAACGGCCTTGATTTTGAACTTCGGAAGAGGTTTGAAGGAGTTCCATTTCGTGACATGTATGACCTGGCTGAGAAAGCTACCAGGTATGAGTTGGTTCTCAAAGAGGAGAAAGAACGAAAAAATTCCTCTAAAGGTACGTACTATAGGGACCCCAACTATGAAGTTTATTCAACTGATGTGGTTGAAGAGGAAGATTTTGAAGCTAATTTAGCCGAAGTCATTCTAAAGAAACCTTATGTATGTGACGCTTTAACAAAACCAAAAGTATACACCAGTAGTACTCAGCCATCGACTTCATCGGCCAGGAAGGGTACGGCTGATACTGGTAAGGTTTATACGTTTGATCTGGCCAAAACAGAACAAATTTTTTATCATTTGTTGGCCGACAAACAAATCGTTTTGCCAAAAGGACACAATATACCATCGACCAATGATTTAAAAGGAAGAGAGTTCTGCAAATTTCATAATTCATGGAATCATACTACTAACAATTGCTATGTATTTAGAAATGTATTGCAGAAATCTATCGATGAAGGTGTATTGAAATTCCCTGAAAAGAAGCCAGATGTAATGGGGGTCGATGGCGATCCATTTCCTAATATTGTCAATACCAATGTAATCAGCCTGGCAACTGAAAAAGCCGCTGATAATGGTAGACAGGAAAGATTACCAAAAGTTCTTGGTAGTTCATCGGCCAGTAATGATGAGCAGAAAGTTAAGGACTTGGAAATTCAATTAAGAGAAGCTCAAATTGCCCTCATCAACCATGGTTGTTGTCCAAATTGCAAAGGCCGAAGGAATGACTCAGACAAGAGGGGCTATTTCCAATCAACCAGAAAGCGCAATGTCTATGAAAGGTTAGGCCATCAGCCTAGACAGAATCACGAAGAAATCAATCGATCAATATTTAGAGAAAATGGGCCGAGGGCAGTGAGAATCATTCGGTCATCGGTGGCCGATAGAGTCCTGCCAGAACAACATTTTTATCCTAGTTTCAAAAGGAAACCAACAATTCAGTCAGAAATATGGGTTCAAAAAGGAGAAGAATCTAGTCGTGTAAGAACGGTTAGACCTCCTTTGGTTGACCATGGCAGATGGACTCGAGTAAATCACCCAAAGTTTCCTAAGCAACCTCCTACACGTACTCAAAAAAGGAGGATGCAAAGGAAAAATGCAGAACTCAAAAGGAAAAAAGACAAGATCGACCATGATCAACTAGAAAGAAAAAATAAACCAGTGGTGGCTGAAGACAAGGAGGTCGCTACATCCTTTGAGAATAAGGCATACTTTTATGAAGAAAAAGATGATCAGCCCGACCAGGATCCAAAGCATGCGGCCAAGTACAGAGTTCGTTTTGGTTCTCTTCCGGATAAGGTAAATTGTAACATGGTATTTGTTTTGCCTTCTGTGTTTAAAGCAAGGATAGAACCAACGATGAACAGGGATGTTGAGTCAGCTAAGCAGGAGGAAAAGGCTGAATCTTCAGAAATTAAGAACGATTCGACAAGTTCATCGGCCGGGATAAGATTGATCTCTCAGGATCAGCCATCTAAGGCCGATAAAATCATTTTTGAAAAACCACCTTTGTCCATGACACAGCAGTTGAGGCCGTTGTATGTTAAAGTATGGGTTGAGGGTCAGCCAATCAATAGGGTTTTGGTTGACAATGGTTCGGTGGTGAATGTCATTTCAGCAACTACTTTGAAGAAATT